TCATTTGATAAGCCAAACACTCGTGGTGTTGGGGTGTGACTGAGTGTGCATGTGAACATGTATATGTGTGTATAAGTTTGTGTGTGAGTATGCATTGTGTTTAAGTGTGTATTGTGTATTTGTGTTTTGTTGTGAGTTTGTGTGTTATGAGTGTGTTTTGTGTAGATATGTGTTTGCGGTATGTGCTATAAGTGTGTGAGTGTTGTCTGTTGTATCAGAGTGTGCTGTGTGGGTAGGTGTATTGTGTATATTTAAGTGTGTGTAGCTGGTGTGCTCCCACAGTGCCCAGTATAGCACACAGTATGGGATCGGTTTATATTTATTAAGTGAATATTAGGAGACATTGATCAAGCAGATATTTTAAATGAGTTGTTGAATGCAGAAGGGGACTTTTGTTTCCAGTCAGTGTCACTTGATGATGGGACACCTATTGCTTCAGACACTTTGGTTTAATTCTGCCCAGGCTGATAGAGAGATTTGGGGACAGGGCCTAGCAAGCAGCTATAAAACTCCTTCCTTGTCTCCCTGTTTGGAACAGATGTATAAAAAAGATCACTTTAAAAAGATCACCTTCTTGTTCCTGTGTAACTATCCCTGGAAAACCTTTTTTTTTTTTGCTCTCTCATATTTCCAATACCTTCCCAAATCACATCCATTATTTTTCCTTTTTCTTCTAAGGGTATAAATTTGGTGGCAATTCTTCAGATAACCCAGCTATGTTGGTTCCCTGGCTGTGAAATAATATGTATATAGTGCCACCTAGTGTGCAGAAAGCAGAACATTTAATGCAAGTGGAATTCGTCAATTTGTAAAACAGATGTGTTGAGTTTGGGAGGTGAAGAGATAGGAGGAACAATTACTACTAAATTCATTGATTCGAATCATGTTTGCACCTCTATAAATAACTACTTGTTCCAGAGGAAAAGACTTGGCTTATTTGAAAATTCAATACTTATTAAGCCTTTATGGTTAAACATAACTTTTCTAGGTTTTAGTTAGAACTTTGGAAAGATCATGGGCCACTGCTTCTTAAATGATTAAATCTTAAGTAAAACAAATAAACAAACAAAAACTGAAACAAAAAAAACCACTTTTCTTTCTTTAGCAGAATCTTTTTTTTTTCAGATAATATATTTTCTTACAGACTTATGTGATACAATTAGATATTTATTTCCTGTGGAAAATATTATTTAATAGACTAAGTTAAAACTTTTTGGAGAGACTGTATTAGAATGTGTTCCGGCTTTTGACATCCAGATTGAGAAAAACGTACCTGTGGGTCGCTGCCAGCAGCCCACTTTGTCCGTCTCTGCAGATGTGTTCCAGGGGTGTCTCCTGCTGCTGGGCTGAACTAACACCAGGAGGGAAACGCCATCGCAGACAGAGATCCAGTGGCCATTGGAGGGACTGACAAGGGGCAAGATGGCCAGTGGGGCCTGGGAAATTAATGAGTGTGTCCGAGATCAGATAATGGTGACATTTACTATTAGTTCCCTCTTCTATAGTCTTAAGAATGGGGAACATTTATATATGGTTTGCGCCATTGTGCTGTACCGTTACCCTTTAGAAAAGATCAGAAAGGAGGAAAGGTAATGAATGGGGCAGTGGTCAAGGAACTGTATTCCTTTGACATCATAGCCCCTGGGACTTTGTAGGGAGGCAGAGCTCAGTAGGGCTGCTTCTTTTAATAAAACTGGTGAGCGTCCAACTTGCAGTTAGGATGGAAATAAGTGTTGCTGGCTCCAGGGAATGAGGGTGATTCTCAGATACTATTAGCCTTTACAGTTTTGTTATGGATTTGAGAAGTTATGATGCCTTCTACTCTCCGGGTCACTTTTACCCACGTGAGTTGTCCTTCTTCCTTGCATCCCCCTCGGCCCTCATCATTCTTTCCCAGAGAGGTTTCTTCAGCTTTTTCTCTTTACAGTCCTCATCGGAGTCATTCCGCATCTTGAACTATCACCAACATTCGGACCAATCCAGAATCTCTCTCCAACTCCGACCTCTGTCTCAAATTCCAGCTCCACCCGCCAGTTGGAAACCTCTAGAGTTTTCCACCATTCAGAATGGCAAACTGCCTCTCCCCCAAATGATCTCCCTTCAATCCGTGTGCCAATTCTCCTTGTGGTGTTTCATTTCCTGTTGATGCCCACAGCCCCCCTCTCCACTAGCCATTCCACCCTAACTGATCAATTACTCTTCTCTGCCCCCTGCAGCCAGTCCTCCCTGATTTGGAGATTGGCAAGTTCCTCTCACATGCTCCCTTTCCTCTTTATTCTTGCTATGAGACCAGGTCAAGTCTTCCTCTGTCTCCAGAC